AATTCGGTCCCAGACCTCCTTCGGTGATGTGTGGCTATTTATTGATGTCGCATACCCTTGAAAACTTGTTCTTTTCGATTGCTGGCGAATGCACTGTGCACGGTTACATGCGTTTAAATTGTGTACTCCCTCATACTTTTTGCAACAATACGAAAAATTTCCCGCAATAGGGCAACACTGGACGCAGTCTTCTTCATCTCCTTGTCGTAAAGGCCGACTACCTTGGAGAAGGCCTCGCTGTGGCTGTCCCACAGCACGGTGGTACACAGTGTCGCTTCACTGAGCGTCCAAGAATAACGGTGGCTGCATCCACTTGCGTGGCACCAGCAGATTCGTCCTCTGGCAGTTGGGATCTTCCATCACCCCGTGTACCCCTCTGTGCCTGGCTTGCTACGTGGGACTCGGCGCTGTCAGTTAGGCATGGCTTCTCCTCGTTACATTATAACAAGCTTCTGCTCCATCGCAGCAAGGCTGTGTTCGCTGAAGATTTCCATCACCGGCAAAGGTGATGCGCGCGCCGATGGACCCTGCTGATTAGACTCTTCGAGTTGTAATGTAGCGGGATGCACTCAAGCGGCGGGCAATTCTGAAACACTAGGTGATGGCCAAGCGCTTCCACCGTCTACCTTACGAGGTCGTCCGCCCCCTCTTCACTTCATAAACCGCTTGTGGCTGCCAAACGTGGCTCGCTACGAAAAGTCACCGGCATTGTGGAGATGGAAAGTCGACGAACAGTCAAATTCGTGTAGAGTAGCTATACTCGCGGTCAGCTTTCTGTGGCAATCTAAAGAGAGGAGGAAAGCGCGTCTACAGCGGTTGGCGCACCCTCTCCCCTAGCATTGACTGCATTGCCACAGAAAGCCGACCACGAGTATAGCGAACGAAACAACAACCGGCTATCAACGCAGCACGACGCAGAAGATGGGACCCCGTGACTAGTTCGAGAAAGTTGGAACTCCCGCGTCGCCAATCTGGCCAACAACAGAGTGTGCGGTGTTCTTTTCTACGGGGTCTTGCCGTCCGTACGCAGCACGACGCCTCGCACGAAGCTCCAGACACAAAGGAAGAGGGCTAAACACTCTTGAAGACATGGGGTGCCAGTCTGCACAAGGCCGAATTGACGTGGAGCGAGCGTGCTTTGAAAATGCATAACTGCCAACCTGTGAATTTTCAAATTCGTAATAATCCCGCAGCTGCGCGCGGGGGGGGGGGGGGGGGGGGGGGGTTATGCGTAGGGTGTGTATTTTCCGGTTTTAACCGAAAAACACCGATAAACATCCGTCAGTGACGAAAATACAAAATCGGTTAAAACCGAAAAACTCCGGTGGTTGGATATTTTCGCCCCGGTTAAAACCGAAAAACACCGGTCGTTGCACGTTTCCGACCTAGCGAAACCCTTTCCCCGTAGAGGTTCGTCAAACGTGTTATCCCGTGGATCCTGCATTCTTCCAGTGTCTATATATGGCTTGCACGTGGCGTCAGTCCGCCCTCCTTTCTGGGGTTAAAAGCGTCTAGTTAACGCAGTCGAAGCTAAGCTCTCACACGCTTTTCCCCCATTGTGTCGCCCATGGCCCCCTTCTGTGGAAACATTAACGCAGTGGAGGGTACGCTCTCACGTGCCCTTTCCCCATTGTGTCTGGTCAACTAATGTCGGTGCAAGCCATGTATTCAGAGGTTGCTGTGGTACCTGGAAGACACTGCCAACATCCGTGTCGTCGTACAGGGCTGCTGACCTTTCAGAAGTGAGATCCGTTCCTTGTTATCTGTTTAGTTTCCATGGGCTTCTGGGGAAACGAAAAAAGGGTTTTGTTGGCGGGGGAGTTTTTCGCTGTATATAAAAGGACCGTTCTGTAAGAAAATTTGCAGACGTGTTTGAGAAGGCAAGTCCGTCCCGCGTCTGCGGGTTTTCTCAACGTGAAACTTGCATCCCTTCGTCGTCACGCGGAGTAGAAGGCCACCAGGATGGGAAGTAAGCGGAAAGCTCAGGATGACTACACTACGTATTTCATGGATAAATCGTCTTTCTGGTTCCGCGTGCCAATTGTTAATCCGTGCATAAACGTGGAGCTGCCAGGGGGATTTGTGCCTTATGAAAGTATCTATCGGCTGGTCCTCCGAGACGAGAGCTAGCTGAGTGACCTATAATCAGTTTCTTTGTTACCGCCAGTATGCTGTGACTAGCACCGTTGATCCAGTGTTATTTTGGAAACTTCATTTACCTGACTGGCTACTACTGTCCCAAGCCTCGCTGGACATTGAGATTTCCTGTGTCCAGCGCAAATGTGGAGAGTGCGTTTTCAAAATTGCGGGTTGTGAACCGCAAGGAACGTGCTGCCATGACGGATGCAAGCCTCTCGAAGTATGCTTGCATCTACTATAATAACCAAGTGTGAGAAATATATGCTTCCTCGAGAAGCGAATGAAATATGTGAATAAAATTGGAACTCTCTGTCTGTGATCAATCGCATTTTTTTCTACCGATAATCACCGATTTTAGCCTCGTCGTGAGACCGTCCACCGAAATACACCGGTGTTTCGAAAATAAATAAACATTGAAAAACATCCGCCGATTTTTCTCACAAATAAACACCGGAAAGTACACACCCTAGTTATGCGCAGCGATGTGCAGTCTTGCCACCGTGCAAAACGCTTACATCACACATGTACGTGCTACAGAATCCAAACTTCTCCCCCTTCTTGGACGGCACGAAGCACGGGAATTCCGCCTTGTAGGACGACTTCAGTAACACCTGAAAGTGCCTCTTTTGAGGTTTGGAGTTAGCCATTGCACCGTGAAGCCACCGCGACCAGGGGAATGCTACCATTACACGTGCAACAAACACAGACGCCGCAGTTTTCACCTTGAAACTGGCCAAAACAGAGAAGCCCAACCAGTGGGCCCAACTGGCCCAATCACGTCTGAAGACGCCGAACGAATGTGCGCCGCCGAACAGATTTGAACAAAGGCTTGGGCTTTGGATTGGTTTTGGATCTGTGGCCACCGGATAGATACGACGCTGACATAGACGGTACCCATCGCCCTCTTGTGGCGGTAGAAAATACCGCCAACAATTAAAAAAAAGAAAATTATATATATATATTTTTTCTTTGTAAAATTTGAAGCAAGATTCGTAAAATTAGTCCCAATTCATACATTTTTCGAAAAATTCGGAAGAGTTGGCAGGTATGAAAATGGCTAGTTCGCGCAAAAACACGCGCCTTTTTTGTGAGGCGCGCACAGCGGCCGACAAATTGAAAATAATTTATTTTGGAGTAAATACTTTATGTATAAGAATAAAACTTTCACAGCTTTCTTCAGGAATTCTAACAATCTGAAAAAAAAAAACATTTTTCAGAAATGCGACCTTTTAGGAAAAATTGTGATTCCTAGGCAGTGCCCCCTTAAGTTTGAGAAGAATGGCATCTGATGTGGTCATGGCACCGATGCTTTTGTCACATTCGTCTGGGGCACACCGCACTGACGGACGCGTCACGTTCGCCTGGTCGTGTCGGTGCAGCTGCACTACGTTTGCCTGGGACTTCATGCGGCGCGCGGCACTGGTGCGTTGCTGCACCAGCTGCACCGTCGGAAGGAGATCATGCAGGCCCTCACACTGCGACCTTAAGTTAGCGCTGCGACCTTGAGAAGCAGACAGGACGAGGAGCGCCTCGTCCTGGCTCCTTCTCTCCTTGTGTCCTCGTTGTTTAGGCGCCTCACTGCGACCTTGAGTTAACGCTCTCCGCTTCCTTCGGCACCTCCTTTCTCACTCTCTCCTCGTCGTCGGTCTTCCTTCCTCGTCTCGATAAACATGGCGGCCCGCAGCTCAAGAGAATGTGATGTCGGCGCTGCTATACTCTTTCCCTGAAGCCCTCTGCTCTGGCTACGATTTCAGCAATGACAACGGGCCTCGGTTCTTCCTTTTTCGGGAAGTGTGTGTGCGTGCGTTGCGTCGGCCGCCGAGCAACCAGTTCACCATGCCAGGCACGGGAAGCTTTCGTCGTTCGTCGGATTCAAGACGTCGGTAAGTTTTCGGACTTCGTTTGAACTTTTCCCTGGACTTTGGGTCCCGCAGTGGGGACTTTCCTTTTTCGGAACTTTCGTCTTCTTTGCACCGGCGAACTTGTTTCCTGGCTGCAGCTTGTGTTGCGAGCGGCGAGTCATTTTGCATTGTGTCGGGAATTGAGTGCTGTCTTGTTTTTTTCGCGGCCCCGCTGCCCGAAGGTTCGCGAGTGTGTTGTTGGAGTAACGCGTGTTCGCATTTCGTTCTGATGGTTTTGTCGTGTTGTTGCCGTGCGCGACTTTTTATCACCTAATTAAATTTCTTGTTTTTCTTTTAACCCCTGCGTGCCCTCGCCTCTGTTGATTTTCACACAGACGTGTACCTATCGCTTGTCATCAGTCCGACAATAAAATTGCATATGTGTACACTCCATTTCGTAGTCCATGTGTTTTTGTTTTTACGTTGGCTGGCGAAATTTCGGTGTAACACTTGACCCATCCACTTGAAAGACAATTTGTACTTTCATTCCTCGCTAGATGGCGCGAGCCGCCGCCCCACTCTTGCGGATATTTTTTACCGTCCACCCGTTCATGTTGTGCCCTTGCAGTGACTGCACCGAGCGGGTCGCATGGCGGGATGCTTCGCGTTCGCCTGGTAGTGCATCATGTGGTGCACCTACACAGTGGCGTGGCCTTGGGGGCGACATTTTCTCGGTGCCGTGTGTGCCCCAGACGAATGTGACATTTCTTTGTCTGGCAAGCACCTACGGGGTTTGCGACACTTGCCCGCAACGAGACGATTGCAACTGATGTGTTTGTTGTATCAATGTGTTTACGAGCACGCAAGACTCAGAGTCAAAGTATACTCCCGATGGGAATTGCATGAACAAAGAAGGACAAAACGTCCTTGGTACACAAATGAACAAAGTCCCATACAACCGAAGGACAGAAACCCATCTCCGAAAATAAACAGCTTCGAGACTCAGAATGCGGCGCTCACCGCCCGGCTGGGGTCCTTGAAGTCTATCTTGAGCTGGCCCATGGCCCGGATGATGGCCAGCAGGCTCTGAATGGTGTTGCTGTGCACCACCGGTCGGTACAGCTTGCACTCGTCGGACGTGTAGCCGGACTCGTGGATGATCCTGCAAGGGGCAGTTCCTCAGTGCCCGAGGCCCCGCAGGCTCAACTATACCGTAATGTCCCGAGTCGTTACGCACCCCACTTTTTGGGCAAATACTGGATTTCTAAAGAAAGACAAAGACAAGACACGCTTTGTGCAGTGATGCTTTTTTTGTTGCTTTATATGTCATACAATAATTTTAATTAATTAGTCTTAAAAAAATACAGCCACCTGTTTTGTGCAACTTGATTGCAAATGTTTTTTTACCAATGTAGAATCATTAAATCAGGCTTAAAAAGGCATCACCACACAAAACATGTCTTGCTGAATGCAATTCTATAAAAAGTTTTGATATATTCTGAAGAATTTTACGCTAATGACCCCTAAGAAAAACCTAATTAAAATTACAAATTTATTGCTAACTCAGGATCTAGTAAAGCTATCTGAAAACTAATAAGATATTTCAAATCACCGCCAAGAAATACACCACTACAGTAAATTTCAACACGATAAATGAAAAACTAGAAACAATTATAAATTATAAAATATAATGACATCTTGTATGTAGAACCTCATAATAACTGAGATTGGCATGTAAACAACAAGTACACCTCCTTAAAGCAATGCAGCCAAATTAAGTTGTTCAGGTTATTCCCAAGTCTCATTACGCTGCTTCACAAAATTAGTTCTAGTTTATTCTATTGACTGTACATCAAACAGATAAAACATGTAAAAAGGTGACAGCTCGATAATAAAGTTAAAATTAAAACAAACCTAGAGCATTTTTATGAATTCTTTGGCGAGTACTCTCGCTAAATCACGAATTTTAAAAAAGATATCCCTACAATACCACAGTCAATCATAAACAAGTCACAGAATAATTCCAAAATTATTACTATGATTAAGAGCTGTTACATTAATACTCACAAAGTCCCATTTTTTCAATATGCCCGACACATGCGTGTTTAACGTCCCGCTTTAGGAAGATGCTTTCCCTTCAGCACTCAGATGCATGCGGTGAAGCGCTTCATTGCAGTACACAAGAGCGCGGTGAGAAGCGCACTCAACAGAGCTCATTTACATGCCAGAGTGGACTAGGAACATAAGAGATATGACGCAAATTCAGAGTACTCTTAGCGTTTGACACTGGTAGAGACATCAAAAAGGATACTGCGTTACTCGCGGCTAAAATCAAGAGTTCCGAACATTCGCACAAACGTACCATAACAATCTGGACGTGTAGCGGGGTTCGAGTCATTATATTTTCAGCATTTATTAAAGTGAAATAAAGTTTTGGCACAATGTTGGCACAAGTTCCTCACATTTGGGCTGAATGTAGCAGGATGTAACAGGGTAAGTTTGGCGCAAATGGAACAGGAATCGCATCACTGGTAGCTATGCTCCTTTGCGGTGCGGAAAATAATATTTTGTTAATAAATTTCTGTGAGAAATTGGAAGCTACAAAAGACTGCAATGGAGAGGAGACGGCTAGGCCTACCTGTCAACGTAAATGTGATGGCGGGCGACGACACAACTTGAGGAACCACGCAGAAAAGAATGGCTCAAGTTCATGCTGTTATCCGTTGCCTGGAGGTCTTCAAGTGTGTATTTGATTAATTTTGCGATAACAACCGGGACTAATTATTTTTATACATGAAATATAAAGATTTAAAAATAATCATAATAAATCCCAAAATAAATGCTTTGCAAAATATTGACATTTTTGGACTTGCCTTTAAAATAAAACTGAGAATGTCATAAAATGCTCGTTTCCAGTCCGGCGAGCAAGCTAGACTTGTGCTCTAGACAAGAGCAGCAATCTAGTATCCTAATTCCTGAGCACTTTTGCTACACCAGACTGCGAGAGAGAGAGGGGAGAAAGGAGCGTGTGAACACTGATGGTGTTACGGAGGGGTTGCAAGACCAGTTTCAGACGTCTGTGTGCAACATACTGGCTTAGAGCTGAAGCCCAACTAGAGCAGCCATGTCTTAAAGGAGACCGACGGATGACCCAAGTATGGTGGCAGCATGCTCAACCGAATACTTAACAAAGCATTCCTGCACCGACTTCAAAGCGGTAATTGAAAGAGTGGCTAGTCTACCACTTACAACCGCCTCTGGTATCGTCTTTAGACCCACTGCACTGCTCCCAAGTAATTCCAGAAGGTATGCTGTGGTCATTGCCCTGCCCCTATCTCTCGGTTGAAACGCACAAGCACCGAAATGAACGTTGGGACGGGGTCAGCTCAAGCCCACACAAAGAATTGCCTATTGTTCACATGACGGTGATTAATGGTCAACATGCAGATTACAACTAAGGAAGGTAGAACAATCATGTCCCTTTGCTACTCCGTCACAATGTTCACAGAGTGCAAACTACACCTCTACACTGACAGTCGCTGCATAATTACAGTAAGGGACAATTTATCTGCATAATAAATTTTTCCAATTCTTCACTATTCCCTACAATTAAAATGTCAAAATTAGGTTGCTATAGCAACTAAAACTCGAAAAAAGCCAGTACTCGGTCCACACGAAAAGCAACTTGTCAACATGATGCAAGGTGCTGCATGTGTAGACCTTTCCAGTCTCGAACCAGGCGACTGAAAGCGCGTGTCCCTGGTTCTCAGTGGGCTGTGGCAGCCTGCACAGGTGAAATTCCTAACAATAGAGGCCGCTTTTTATTGCTTTTTGCGCGTTTTATGGCGAATGCAATTTCTCGGGGCCTTTGAGAAAGCTTTTGACCTCCTCTGGCAATGAATACAAACAAATAAAAGCTATTTTTAGCGAGTCAACGTGCGACAGAACAAATGCAACTCGAATGTTTGTTTCATTATAAGCAGATTTTTCGCACTGACAAAAGCTCAGCAATTTCAATTTACAAAGGTCTCAACTTTTGAAAATATTTGATCACGCAAGATAGCTGAAAGGCAAGGGGTATTCCCCGCTCCCAAGGAATTCGACGAGCCTCATCGATCGAACAACATACTGTACATACCCCACAGTACCACGTTATCCGAACTGAGTTTATTGGAGAAAGATCTCAAATAATGCGGCATATCCAATCTGGAGTGTCGAAGACGGTCACTTCAGGACGATCGGACAAGACTCAGACTTGCCTTCGGGCACGTTTAGAAGAGAGCTAGATTTTGCGCAGAACCGAAGCAGGCAAACGGATGTGTCCGTACTGTCCCCTATCCTGCACCCGACGGGCTATTTTTTCGCAAGCTTTCCGGAGATTGTCTCGGCAGACAAAATCCTTGAAAGTCGAACGATTTGCCTTGCTGGCAGTCTGTTTCCACAAAGGCCTGGCAGGCTACAAACCCCGGTATTCCTTGGTTCTCACAGTGAAACATATAACAAAAAAGGTAAGTGTCGCAGATGGAGAGTCTTACAGACCGAGTTTCCACAGCCCAGGAGGATGGCAGAAATTGCCGATTGGGGTTGCGAGAGTCGCCAAGTGGCCAGAGAGCTGTTTTTGGAAAGGTCTATACACATCAGCAGAGAAGCAAACTTGGTGGGTACGCATCATGTGGTTAGGTAATGAGGGACACAGAGTAGCTGTATATGCTCTGCTCGTGGAGCAGAGTATCGCAATGGTGCTTCCAGGGCGGCCATGTTGGATCCAAGCTGCACTGCGGGAAGCGACTTACGCTTCTGCGGGAGGCAGAGAGGCACGGATGGCGTGGCTGCAAGGCGGAGTTGCGGCGTGTGGAGCGGAGAAGATATAGTGCGGCGACACGCCGCAAGTGCGCCTTCGTCCCGTCATTTGTCTCCCATTCCTCTCTATGCTTCCGGTAGAGCGTAATAGACTACGAAAACATTGTCCCTTTGCAAGCTGTAGCTGCGCAATGTTGTGTGGTCCGGGGTACCCGGATGTGGCAGTGACATATCACTCCCCGAGGCCGCAGACGCCATCGACCTTCGTGTCGTCTGCTTTCCAGACTTTGGAAACATGGTTTAAAACATCGCCTGCATTATAAAACAATGCGATTATACTGTACCCAGTGGCTACACATAATGTTCAATGGTCAATGAACCTTCCAGTTTGTCCGATTTTAGTGGAGGATGTATATTTCGCAAATGCAAAGCGAGAACCAGGCCCAGCCCGAAACTCGGCGCCTGCAAGGTTGCGTTCCCGCACGAAGGTTGGATCCAGCTTGGCGCATGTGACCGACCGCTTCTCCGTCAATACGAAGTTGACAGCGAAAGGAAAAGGAATGCGATAGCCTGCATGCAGAGCCTATACAGTTCCTCCAGACCAACAGGAAAACCGAGGAAACAAAAAGCAGCCAAGGAATGATAATGGTTAAAAGCAGTCAAGCATGCAAAGTTGAATGGCTCACTTCATTTGCTTAACGATGGTGCTCTTCCCAGACTCTCCAGCTCCTGAAAAAAAAAATGCCCACAGTCAAAACAAAATCACGTTCACAATGAAACACTGCATTCCTGTGACATTAATGCTCACCGATGCACATCACCAAATAGCTGCTAAGGAATTTTTTAGAGCACATTTACTAGAAACAGTTTAAGGTTAAAGAATGTATAGTAAGCAAACCGGTTTCATGCAGAGAGCTTCAATCTTGAAAAACAAAAAAGGAAGTCAGCTTCCTTCAGTTGAATTTCAATTAGTGCTTCATGGCCTCAATTTAATAGTGCTACTTAAAGGGCAACTCCGCTTCATTTTTAATATTTAGAAAACTATGTAGCCCTCTTCAGTATCATATAGGAAGACCCCATGTCAAATATTACGATCTAATTCCGTTTATATATTTAATAAACTGGCCAGCAAACCTTCAAGCGAGCCAAGTCGCCGAAATCTGCCAACTCTAGCGTGCGGCGCGAGGCGCAATCACCAGCGCAATCAATGCGACGGAGTTGGAGCGGCCAACGTTGAGCCACTACGTCACAGGCATGTGTATGTCATTCTCACGTTTTGTTTGTTTTTACTTCTCAGAGCGAAATTGAACGATGATGTCATGAGTTTCTCCTCCCGGTGTTGGCTGACCGGGCGTTCACATGATCACCGTAACACGGATGCGCCTGGGATGCGCTGCCCTGCGCGCTTATCGGTCTGTTTTTCCGCTCCTTTTCTCGTCTTTCGTCTTCTCCCCTTCCCCTTCGCCCCCGGGCCATCACCGTCCAGGCCATGCAAAGCGACCTGCCCGCGTCCAATAAAAAAAAAAAAAAAGACTTTGCTCGGTTTCTTGCTCCCTCCCGAACGTCACAAGACCACGTGGTTCGACGTGACGTGCCATGACTCTGATGACCCGAGACCAATGTTGCCTGACGCAACCTAAGTTTCGGTTTCGGTATTTGCTGATGTTTAAATTAGGATTACACAAATATTATTCCACATTTCGCAAATCCGAAGACGTAGAGTTGTTTAGTAGTGCTTTGTTAATGTGAATCACATGGAAGCCTAATAAATTTTTCGGAATTGAGCGGAGTTGCCCTTTAATAGTGAAACCATCGATTTGCTTCGCAACAAGTTACATATCCAAAATTGGCACACACTGATAACTGAGCAAAGCAGTGTAGATGTGAGGAAACAATAAGGGACTAATCAAGTTGATCTGGGCAGAAAACTGAAATACGATGGACTGCAAATATATTAGCAATGGCCACCTCCATACAGCATTTGTGTTCTCCGCACAAATGAAGCCCAATTCCTTACAAATCCCCTAGAAGGCAAGAAAAGCAATCACTACATGCTCCATGAGGGTAACAAAACGACACAAAAAGCCTAGGCAAGAGGTTGCACCCCTGTCCCACCACCCACTCCACTTGTTAATTCTAGGCTGGCATTGATGGCAACACTGGAGTAACGTGAAGGGATGTCCCCACCACCACTGCGCTACTTGGCAGCCCCTAAAGCAGACCCAACAAGAAATCAGTCAAATGGGATGTTACTTCCAAGCCATCAAGATAAAGAGAAACTTTTTTCTTCCTTTCTACCGCTCTGAGCTTTCCGAGGTCACTACAGTGTGTTGACCCAAACAGACGGAGACCAAGAATATCCTCATCTGCACTTGTCTTAGTGCTCATTTTACCAGTAATGCCCTTAATTTGGCAGATAACTGAAAACAGAACCTGCGTCCAAGTGACTATTCGTAACAAATGCTGTCCTCGCCAGTCATTTTTGTTGGAGCATCCGTCACAATTACCTTTTTAAAGTTGAAGCTACAGTACTGTGCAACACTTGTTCAGTAATCATTATTCTGTCAGTGGCCAACCAATGAGCTTGGACATTCAAGGTAATGGGGAGGAATGGCTCCTTGCATAACCGAGTTCTATACACTAGCACCAACACCTGGACGATACTGATTCAGAAAGCACGAGTCCAATATAAGGAACTTCTTCAGAGGCTGCAGTAAAAGTGCTAATAAAACCATTATTTTGCAGTGGCACCACTCTCGAGAACACTCTGAGAAACTGCTTAGCATAAAAATTGTCCAAGAATTTGTGTCCTTTGGGAGCTGCGGCGGCTACCATGTCCCTGACAAACTTTTATGTTTGCTGCTGCATGTAGCCGACGGTGTACCATGTGACCATCACGTCACCAATTCCTGTGATCCGTGCCTCCTCCGCAGATGTGCAGAGTGAAATGGCCGAGCACCTTTTTACTTGCAAAATTTCGGCAAGTGATTTGACTTGAAAAGCATGTAGTCACGCAAAGTTTTTGTTTTTGAATGATTAAAACGAAGATAGAATAATATTGTGTTTTGCGAGTTTGCTGGTTATTTTTGTCCCGTGATTCTTGATTTTAAGCATCAAAGAAGCTGCAGAAACTTTGCTTGGCTGACGCAACGCAGGTTCCGGTCCAAGTCCGTGTCAAGTACTTCCGTCAAAACTCGCCTAGCACGCTGCAATCTTTTTTGCTTGTTCAATGGACCTTTCACCCAGCAAGACCTTTCTTGCGGCAGTGGTGTATTGAAAAACTGTGCGCAAGCGCGGAGTATGTGAAGGCATCTCCAAACGCCCCTCCGCGAGCCCAGGCCTTCGTCGCCTCTACACCGAAGCCCCCTCGAGCAGGACCATGCTTGTGTCACTGTCATGCCCCAACAGCGGTGCACCATTTTTTTTCGCAGTAGCAAACATTGATTTCATTTTTGGACAATGGTGTCACAAGGCAATCGTGCGATGTTGGAGTTTTGTGGCACTGTGGGGTCGCAAACAGGTTTGGTCCTGCTCGTCATCTAATTCGTGTGGACACGCTTGGGAGACGGACAAACCGCGAGGATGTCGTCACGTGATCAATCTGTCCGCGGATCAGTCTGTCAAGTGAATCAGCCAACAGTTCCAAACCACTGACAACCTTGAAGAGGTGCAACAGAGGTGGCAGCCGATGACCAAGCCTCAAGATCATGGTTATTAATCTTATCCATGTCCAATTAAATGTAGTTCCTTGTTGTTGAAACCCAAGGCTCCATGTTATTTCTAGCACGCTGCAAGATATACATATAGACCTACAGGGGAGCTCATGAACTGTACTTGGGAGCAGCCACGGGAGCAGCTGAAACCGCTGTTTTGGATAAGGTTGGGAGCAGCTAAAACTACATTCTGGAGCAGGCTAGGAGCAGCTCAGATCAGTTTTCATTGCACTTTAGCTTGTGTCTTAGACAAGCACGGGAGCAATTCCAATTGTGCTTGGCAGCACAGACAAACATGAGTGGTTAGGGACCTAGCTAGATGGGAGAACAGTGTAACACATGAGAAAACGTAAAACTTTGTGAGCCTTTATGAGAACCAAAAAGCAAGTACCATGTTTCTGAAGATAGTGTCCTTGATATTTTCTGAGTGGCCTCAGCTGCTCAAAATTCAAACCAGCACTGCTTATCGCACAACCCACACGTGCTTGAGATAGTAATTATATGTGCGAACCACAAGGTGAGCGTAAGCAACGGACGTGAAGTTGTGCAGAGGAACAGGACAACAAATTTAAAGTTTATACTATTGTGCAACTCAATATTGAAGCAGCAGACTACGATTAACGGACTTATCATATTCTAAGTGATAAGTAGGAGCAAGGTTAAAGTACGCCGAGCAGATCTACCGCTCGCGTGAGAGCTGCTGGCTGGCGGTTCCAACTTCTAACGATGAACTACTAAAAGGAATCTTTTGCTCATTTGTTTTACACTGGCTGATGTCCAGATCCCGGGCAGCAGAGCCTCAGGCAATCTGACGCATAATGACTCGACCTCACCTCGGCCGACTTGCTTAACCACTGATGGCTGAAGAATAACAATCCAGTCGCAGGTAATGTAGCACTTCGAATCCGACCCCCGAGTTTTTTCGCGCACTTCCGACTCGGGATACACAGGGAGAATAAAGAGAACAAAGGATTGCAAGGCCGACCAAGCTAAACGCGCTCATTGTTACCATAGAGTCGATAGAAACCGAAACCAAAACAAAATACAATTTTTCTTTTTGCACTCGTTTTTCTATTTGGTACGTAATGGCGCGAGGTACTGGTTGCGGTGCAGTTTCCGCAACATGTCACAGAATGGTGCAGGTAAATGTGTTTGGTGCAAGATGATGCAACCGTTCCACCTTTAGGACCTACCAAGTGGCTCATGCCAAGGAACACACTAACGACAAAAAGAATGAAAGAGACAAACAACTAAGAGAATCCATTCCAAGCCAACTAGCTTGAAATGGCTAAAGTCCCTAGATAAAATAGGATTTTATGCAGAATGTGGCCACACAAAGACCAGGGCTCGGATAGAAAGAGGGGCCCACTGCGTTTTCCTAAGCCCGGAGTGGTTAATTTGTATTTTCTGGGAGATTTTTTTTTTTTTATTTACAATACATGGTATGAATGGTCAAAATCTGGGAATCTCTTGGGTAGTGCGGGAGACTTGACAGGTATGTACATAACACCGTGCGCATTGCAGCTGCCAGATAAGGTCCTCTCCTCGCCACGGTTGCAAGTGGTGCCACTAGATGGCTCTTCGATACGTGGCTAATGGCAGCCGGTTGCAGGCTTGGTTTCCCATGGCCTGTTCGGAAAGCCGTTCTCTGGCTGTGCCATGTCCTGTATGTTATGCGTGGGTTCTTCTAAGTGTTTTGGATCGACAGGATGGCGTTGGATTTACATAACGTGTTCCTTTATTGTTGTTCTAATGGCGCCCGACTGGCTCTGCCAGCTCTGCTACAGTTGCCAGTAGGGCTAATGCAACATAGGTGGCGCTACCTTTTAGTACATATATAACACGCCCCTTTTTCCTTTTTGTTTTTTTTGTTTTTTTTTACAAGTTCATGCGGTTTGGAGGACGGACTTGTCTTCCTGAACGTGTGTGACCTGAGGTTGTCGGTCCACTGCTGGTATCACATGGTATATTCACTGCCCGGGAGGAGTCTTCATCTAAGTCAGACAATGGGCACAG